CCCGGGGAGCAGGCCTAAGCCAGCAGGTGGTTATCCCCTGAGGGGTCCCAGACTGCGAGATGGGACAGGCCGGGCTGAGGGACCCCCCTCCCCCGCAACCGAGTGCACAAATTTTTGTGCACCAGTCCTCTAATATGTGTAGTCCACAATGTATGTGTAGTCCCTCTATTGATCAACATTTAGATTTCAAATTTTTTACTATTGCAAACAAAGCTGCAATAAAATAACCTTATACATATACTAGAGGCCTGGTGCACGAAACTTGTGCACGGTGGGGGGGGTCCCTCAGCCCAGCCTGCAATGACGCCAGTGTCCCGTGCCCTGGCCTCTGACCTGAGGCCCCTCCCCTCCCTCCACGCAGCCAGGGAGTGGATGCTGGGCTCGTGTCACTGAGGGCAAGGTGAGCCCAGCGTCCCGCGCCCAGACTTCTGGCCAGAAGCCCCTCCCGTTCCTCCACGCAACTGGGGTGCAGACGCTGGGCTCACACTGCCAGGGCGACACCACCAGCATCCCACCCCAGCCACTATGGGTGCTGCCATCTTTGTTGTGGGGTGACGGTTAATTTGCATATCACTCTTTTATTAGATAGGATCATTCCAACCAAGTACAAGTACATCTCTAGGGTAAATTCCTAGAAATGAATTTGAACTTTAAATTTCAATAGCATGTCCCTCCATAGAGCTGTACCAGTCTTTATTTTCACCAGTGTAAAGGCAATGTAAGAGGCAGTGCTGGGTACAGTGCACTTGGCTGTGTTTCTCTTATTCATTCATTCATCCATTTACTATCCATATATAACATATCTATCTTGAGTCTGGGGAGGGGCTAGGGAAGATAGAGAGGAAGTGGGAAAAGAGACAGGTAGTGGCATGTGTGCCCTCAGAGTCTCCTGGGAGTACAGCCACATCTCTGTATTCCCTCATGGAAACAAAACAACATAAGCAAACAAAAAATACTTTTACTATTATTTTTTGTTGTAAGGTGACCAGACTTATTTTAGGAAATTTAGAAATTACAGAGAAAAAAGAAGAAAGAAAGGAAGATTAAAAAAAAAAAGTAGCTATCATAGTCCCCAAATCACTGGCATCATTGGGTATAATTTTTCCACACTGTTTTCTGTGCATACATGCATAAAAATACTTACATACATAAAACATACCTCTTATACATGTGTATAACATGTACACACATGTTTGTGTCTATTGCATATGTGATTTGTAACCTATGAAAGTGTACACTGAGAACATGTGAACATTTTCCAGCATATATTTTGTCTTCAGACTAACTGTGCTTCATCTCCTGCCAGTTGCTCTGCACTCCTATCCTGTGGAGGGTCTGCATTGTCATTATGCTCAGCTGCAATTTCATCGTGTCCCTTATTGTGGAGGTAAGTGCCCTGAAGCTGCTGATCATTGGTGTGTGTGTGACATTTTAGGGGAGTCTGCAAAAGGAAGGCTGCTGATCACTGGTGTGTGTGTGTGTGTGTGTGTGTGTGTGAGTGTGTGTGTGTGTGTGTGTGACATTTTAGGGGAGTCTGCAAAAGGAAGAACAGTTTTAGCTGACAAGGCTCAGCAGTGCAAGGGGCTCCCTTCCTTGGCGACATGAGCAACAGTGCTTTCCTCTGATGAGCTCAAAACAAGGTGTTTGTGTTCCCACCTGTAAAGTGGATCTGGGAGACTAGAACTATGACCGCTAAGGTCCTGCTCATTTCTTTCTTTCTTTTTTGGGGGGAGGGGGGTGGAGGGCGGGTCCTGTTTATTTCTAAAATTGACAAATAAAGGTCCAATTCAGTTCATTTTTTGAAACTTTACCTTTTAAAAGTGTACAATTTAGTGATTTTTAGTATATTTATTGAGTTGTGCAACCATCACCACTATCTAATTCTGGAACATTCTCATCACCCCCAAAAAGATCCTGTTGCATTAGCAGTCACTCCACACCTCCCCTTCTTCCTCCTTCAGCCCCTGTAAGCCACTAATTTATTTTCTGTCTCTATGGATTTGCCTACTCTGGATATTTCATATAAAGGGAATCATACAATATGTGGCCTTTTGTGTCTGGCTTCTTTGACTTAAGAACTTGTATCATTTTTACTGTACAGATGGGAAATGAGATTCCTAGTGAGCTTTTGCTGGCTTTTATTCTTCAGCTCCCATTTCCTCACTGTAATGAGCTTGTACCCGCCCTCATCTGTGCTATGTGGTTCTCTCTGTCCTCCTTCAGTACTTTTGGACACAATCTCCATTCTTCAAAACTTACTGTTAGTCAGGGGGGTGCCTCCCGAAAGGCATGTCAAAGGAGAGGTGAGCTGCAGGACCCTATCTGTCCTCATTCCCACCCTCATTACAAAGGCAGGCTTGTTCCAGTGAGGGGGCGTTATGGTGGGTTGAGGACACTATAGCCTTGTCCCACAGTATTTTGTAGGCAAACCTCAACAAACCTTCCTTACTGAGCAAGGTAAAGATTGCACAGGAACAGGTGGTAGAATAAGACAAAGAATAAGGTACTAGAGCTTCTCTCTCTATGCCCAAGTTTGAGGGCTTCTCAAGGTGACCGGACACGGGAATCACCTGGGGGGCATGTTAAAACACAATTGTCCACCCTGCCCCCAACTTTCATGATCCAGTAGGTCTGGAGGAGGCACACACTTTCATTTCCCAGGTTTCCTGGTGATTCTGGTGCTGCTAGTTCAGGGATCACACACTGAGAAGCACTGTGCTATAGCATATGGTTTCCAAAGCCACCGAGTTAATGAAAGAGCATCATCAGGGGTGTCCTCATAATGAATTGCGGAAGATAGTCCTTGCCCTTTAAAGGAATATGTATCTTGTCCCTGTCCACAATCACATTATTTCCTCTGTCTAGTACCTCTTTTCCACTCCTGCGTGTTGAAATGCTATGCTGGTAATACTATCAACAATAAAAAATATATACTTTTAAAAAAAGTTAAGTTAAAAAAATGCTCATCTAGCCTCAATGGCATAGCTGTAGGATTATGCTCTTCATGAATCTTTCTAGATGCCTCGCTCAGTTAGGCAAGGAACAAAAGTCAACTAACAGTGGTTTAAACAATAAAGATATGTATTGACTCATTTAAGAAGATTGGAGGTAAGTGGCTTCAGGGCTGGTTTAGTGACTGGGTGTCATGGGGGATCCACATTCTTTTACCTTTCTGTCCCAGTAGCCTTAGATCTTGGTCTTTCATGTCTGTGCTTGTTGCTTATGGCACCCAGATAGCTTCTGCACAGCTGGGCATTGCATCTGTTTTCAGTGCAGGGAAAAAAGGAAGGGAGGCACCAGCAAGTTTTTTCCTTCAAGTATGAATCTGTTACCAGTGAACAAAAAAAATCTGACAGCCCACCTGCAGGCTTTTGCTTATGCTCATTGGTTATAACTGTGTCTCACTGGCATCCTGAGTAGAAAAGGATTCTGGGAAAGTGGATTTGTACCAAAACGTTAGACAGATTGGCTTAGACTCTGTGTTTGTTTGTTTTTCCTTTTAGGCAAGCAGGGAAGAGTTGGGAGGAATGAGTTGTAGGGGTAACAGAGCAACATGGTCTGCTGCAGTCCCCTTGCAGGAAGCCATTCCACAGTCAGCATAGTTGCAGTTAGGAGCATAAGCCGGAGGTAGTTTACCTATGTTTGAATCCTGGCTTCACCCTTTCTTGCTCCCCGACTTAAGGCAGTACTTGCTACTCCACTTCTCTGTATCTCTGTTTCCTCACTTGTAAAATAGTATAATAATGACACATTACCTCAAGGGTTATGGTGAGCATGTAATGTGAACAGTGAAAAGCATGTAGTAAGTAATCTTAGTAGATATAAGCTACGATTATTCTATTATATCTGTGGTACTTATCATTTCTTACTTTGTATCTACCAATCATTCAGGTATTCGTGTATTCATTCACTCTTTCCACAAGCATTTGTTGACCATGTGCCATATCCTAGGGCACAATGCCAGCTGATGGAGAGGGCGATTTAATACTCATGGAAGATAAAGTTTCTTTGCTGCTTCTCACGTTGCGTGAGAAATTAAGACACTTGTAGTGTCTAGTGTGTGTTCACAGCAGCTCCTACACTGAGAAATAGCATTGTAGGGTTCCAAGTCCTACTTTGAGTCTCCTCCATGAAGTTACCCGTCCTCTGCTGTCACTACATACTCAGGAATAAACCCAAGCCATTTGAGTCTTTGTAGAGCAAGCATGTCAAATTCAAAGATTAACATGGGCCAAATAAACGAGGCATGTGGCCCGCAGGCCGCAAGTTTGACATGTTTGTTGTAGAGTGATAGGACAGATGATCTCTCAGGACTTCTGTTTTATTTTTTGATGAAGTCAGTTATAATGGAGAATCCCTGCCTCATAAGGTGAGCCTAGCAGAGTAGGTAAAGGCCCCAGACTATTAGGGATGCAGCAAGATGTCTTCCTCAGGTAGCTCTAGGTATGTCTCACACAAGATAATAAGGATTCCTAGGATGGGCTGTGCTAACTCCATACTAGCTTGTCAGGCTATGGCAGAGATGATCCAGAGAGGTATTGAGCATGGGAGATGGCTGGCTTCCTTTTGCAGAGTCCTGAGTATTGTCTGGTCTGCTGAGAGGCTTAACCCTAACCTTAATCTTAGAGTAACCCGACAAACAAACAGATTTGAACAAGACTTTACCCTTATTTTGCCAATTTGTATGATCTAACCTTCAACTGAGAGACAGAGGAGCTAAATTTATAGCTTTAATCCCTCTCCCTTTTTATTATCTACTAGAGGCCAGGTGCATGAAATTTGTGCACTGGTGGGGGGAGGGGTCCCTCAGCCCAGTCTGTGCCCTCTCACAGTCTGGGAGCCCTGCAATTAATCACCCCAAAGAGGTAGGCCCTGCCCATCCAGCCAGGGCTCCACGATGGATCACCCCCGCAGAGGGAGGCCCCGCCCACCTGCCGCAGCCGCAGATCGCCTCCCTCTTTGGGGCAATCATGGATCCCCCCAATTGATCGCTTGCCCTGCCAGCCAGTGGCCTGGGCCTCCCTCTGCAGGGCAATCATTGGGCGATGGCCGGGCCCCTGACCAATGGCATTGCACCCGCCTTGGCTGGCCTGGCGCCAGTAGGTGTCATAACGTGTCGTTCAGATGGTTGTTCTGCTGTTCAGCCATTAGGTTGATTTGCATATTATGCTTTTGTTATTATAGATGTGTTTGTATGTATATATATGTGTGAATTATTTGAGAACTCATGAGAAATTTTGTTAAGGTTTTTTTGTTTGTTTGTTTTAGGAATGGCATCTTATCAAGGCATTTCTTTTGTTTCTAGTTCTGAATTTAATTTACAATGTAGAGTGACAGGACAGATTATCTCTCAGGCCTTCAGTTTTCTTTTCCAGAATAGCAGAGTGATATTTCATCATACATCTAGAACTGTGAAAAAGCTCAAGGCACGGTGTAGAGCACTAAAGTCTTTCTGTGTGTGTGTTGATTTGTTTCGTTGTTTTGTTTAAAGCCTGCTAAGATTTCCAGAAGGTAAGTTAGATTTTAAAACCACTAATTGGATACCCATGATACTGCCTTTTCCCAGCTCCAAGGAGAACTACTGCTTTCTTATTAAATTAAGGAGGACAAAAGCCTTGCTGTAGGAAAGTAGAATAACAGGTCTGGCTAGGTGAGCCCTGAGGTTTGCAAGGTTGATGAAATGCTGTGTGGATCTTAGCCTGCTAGCGAATGATCCGTTTTTATAGGAAGGTTCAGACAAGTTGTTCTCTATTATTTCCATGGGCAATGGGTGGATTTCAGGAAAACTACTATCTCTGGCAAAGTTCCTTGTAGAATACTACAGAATTAACTCTTTCAGTTCAACAAAGATATCTTTGATAGACACCAAAACCAGTTCTAATTTTGTGGGACAGCTTGGCTCCTCATATTTTTTTTTTTGCTTTGTTTCTTTCATAACTTCTAAGATGGTCAACCTTTGTGACTGTTAGGGAGCAGAAGGAGTTCGTTCACGGTGCTAGCAGAGCCAAAGAATTGCAGTGGAGAAAGATTGTCTACTTTATTGATGAACGAAATCACCCAGGAGAACAGGAAACTAATGCTCAAAAGCCTGAACTCCCTTGTTATGTGTAGGTTACAGATCATACAGGGCAAAAATCACAAGACACGGTGGGTTAGGGGTTCACAGTCCTGCTGGGAGCTGATTGGTCGGAGGTGAGGTAAGGGTAATAAATTATTTCTTCAGGCCTTGAGGACAGCTCTGAGGTCTTTTCCAGTGTCCCTCTGCTGGTCTCATAAGAAAGCAGCCAGGAGATGGTTCCATCCTGGGCTCAGGAACTGAAACATAACTTAGGTCATGATGTTACCTTTAGAGGTCTGGGCCTTGTGATCATTAGTCAGGTCCAGGCAACTGTCTTCTGCTGCCTCAGGGGTTGCTATTATCCAGGGAAAGGATAGGTCTTTGAGGGGTATAGACCCACAGAGAGAGATATTATTTCTAGAGGTTGGTTTAAAAAGCTAAATTTAATCAAAGTCATAAGGACCCTCAGTTTCATGACTAAACATGATAAAAATGATAATACCCTCCCGTGCACTCTGAATTGTAACTTATATCTTGGACTCTATACCAGGCTAAGTCTAACTCATGAAATAAAATGGCAGTCCAAAATGTTTCTACAGAGAGGTATCCGGTAGTCTTAAAAATACATTGTAATTATTTGTAGGTGAAGGTTAGAGGTATATGTGAATAGAGCCACAGTGCACAGCCTGTTAAATGAATAGTTCAGAGAGTAGAAAAGGGAGGTAGGAGCCGTGCCATGCCCTGCATTGTGTGGGGAGTTATATAATCCTTATGACACACCTGTGGAAGAATTTATTATTTCTAATTACTGAGTCTCTGATAGGGTCATTAATTTGTCCATAGTAGGTGTCAGAGCTGGAATTAAAACCCAGATCTGTTCAATTTCAAGGCTGTGGCCCATGTTTCAATTTCACTGACCTCTGTTCTTAGCTATGCAGTGATGTGCCAGGGTATACCAAAGCCACACCATGCATGTGGCACATCTTTCTATAGGGTCCATTTCAGTTGGTGGTGAGTAATTTTAAATGACACTTTATATTAAATCAAATATGGATATGGTGTAAAATGTAATGTGACATTTGAATGATTTTAAATGTTAGGGGGACCGCAGTACATATCAAAGAAACCTGGTACTGTCCATTAATCTCTATATTTCCTGACCCTATGGTTTTAAATTTAATTTTTATATGAGATTAAGAAGAAATTTCATCCTTGAGGCAGACTACTTCAAGCTATGTTTCCAGAGTCTTGAAAGCATGTACTTCACTCTTCTCCCAGAAGAGTTCTGTAAGTGGAAAGGTTTGAGAACCTATCATGTGAAACCACCTTGGATTTGTTTTCTAGGCCTGCAGTTCTTTGTCAAGCTGGGCCTTGGCAGCCAACACAGGAGTGTCTTTCTAGAGTCCATGGGGGCCATAACCTGGAAACACTTGACCTCTGGTTGTAAAGAGCAACTCTTTTATTTTGCAGGAGGCCATTATTGAAAACCGAGCCCTATGGATGACAATCAAAAGGTACTTTGGCTATCGATCAAAAAGCCAGTATCGGATATGGCACCGGGCCTTGGCAAATGACCCTACTTGGCCCCCACTGAACCAAATGTCTCCCTCTGACCTGCCGGAATGTGGCAAGGAAGTGTCTTACAGCAACCCGGTGTTTGAGAGCAACGAGGAACAACTCTGAAGGCAATGGGATACTCAAGTTGAGAAAACATAGAAACAATGACAAAAGGGACCAGTTTCAGCGATATTTTTTAAGCAATGAGACTCTTACAATATCAGCAGGAATTTTTGGAATCAAGCACCTATTCAATCGTGGTGACAAATTAAAGTCTGTTTGATAAAATACTTTCTGCTGAGCAGAACTCTGCCCCAGGAGAGTGCCTTTCTCTTGGCCTCTGAAAGTATTGGACGTGTTCAGTGAATCGAGACTGGGCCAAGAATGGCGATGGGCCAAGAGACTGGAAAGCTAAAGGAGAAGATGTACTCTTTCATCTTAGATAATATATTTTTTAAATGAGTTGAGGGAAAGTAGCACTATGTATAGTCATAGAATCATAGCATGTTAAAGATCAGTTTTGAGTTCTTATTTCATTGATGGAGAAACGAATGTGTGGAAACCATCACAGTCTTCACTATCTAGTTTCCTTCCCTTTGCAGTACTTTTCAGATTTGAGACATTTCTTTCTACTTCTGGCCTTCTCCACATATTAGTAAGGATTGCCTAAGCTGATGCTGCAGTAACAAACAACTCCCATATCTCAGTGACTTAACACACAAGTTCTTTTTCTTGGTTCAGATGACTCTTTAGAAGAAGAGAGGTGACTGCTCCAATCGGATGGCTCCGTCCACCCAACACAAAGACGCGAGAGGGAAGGAAGAGAATGGAGATCAAACAAGGGTTCTTCACTGCCTGACCCCAAGAGTGGCACATATCTCTTCCACCACTCACATCTCATTAACTGGGGGTGGCAGAGGAACTGGGGAGTACAGTCTCCTGTATTTAGGGTTGGCTTCATGGGCATATGACCTGTGCTGTCACACAGGGCCCCTGCTTTGACATGTGGGGCCCACTCTTGGTTTAATGCCCTGCCGTTGTCATCTTTAAATTATTTGAATAAAGGTTGTTACATTTTCATTTCGCGCTGTGTCCCACAAATTGTGTAGTTGGTCCAGCCTGTATTCCTGGAAAAGAAGGGAACATTGCACATATCAAAGAGTCCTTGTACTACCCACTAATCTCTAAATTTCCTGGCCCTATGAACTTTTGAGTTTTAATAACCCTCCTCGCACATGCCCGACTCCAGGAATGTTTACTCCTCTGCTCTGTTATTTTTTATACAAGTTAGTCTTGTGCTACAACATGTTACCATCGATGTAAGTCTTCACACAGCCTACATATTTCTTAGGTTTCAGGCTTCAGTTTTCAGAAAACAAAAATCTCCCCTATTTCATCACAATTACAGCTTGGTTATACTGGATTTATTCATCACAGGAAACACCCAGGTTTCTGTTAGCTCAGCAGACAATACTGAATTCTAGGAGAAAATCCACAAATACTATTTTAGAGCAAAAGCAACATTTTTATTACGAACATCAAGTCCTAGGAGAATGAAGTGGGCAGGGTGGAGTGTCCTGGCCCAGAACAAATGGTTGGCTTTGCTTCTCTCATCAGCACCTGCAGTCATTGCCTTCCCTGGCTGAACCCCTGGGCATGGTTGGTGGCTTTGTGGCTGTAGATAATTCTGGGAGCCTGGTGTTTTCCCAGCCGTGAAGGCACCTTGTTGCTTCTGGTTTTAAGTTGGGGTGTGAGGAATCATTAGAGTAGATTGCAGCATCACTATCACTGTCTTCCTTGGTATAGAAGAAATGTTTCCATTTACGAAGTCAGCCTCAGCAGTGATATGACAACTCTGAATGTCCTTTTCTAAAATGGATCATTTTTCCTATTTTTAAAAGTGGGGGTGCTGTGGGCACAGCAAACTGGAGATGGTATACAACCTAGTGACAAGCAAAAGCAGTGTGCACATCAAAAAATAAAAAAATAAAAACCCCCCTCTCTGCTTCCTGCTTCTGCGTCGGCGAGGTGGGGGAGCCAAGCTAGCTCAAATAAAGACTCTTATGCTTTTGCATAGGAAAAAAAAAAAATAAAAAAAGTAAAAAAAAAACAAAAAAAACCCAAGTGTTGGTGAGGATGGGGAGAAAAGGAAACCCTCATACACTGTTGGTGGGAATGCAGATTGGTGCAGCCACTGTGGAAAGCAGTATGGAGTTAACTCACAAAATAAAAAATGGAACTTCCTTATGACCCAGTGATTCCACTTACAGGAATATATCTGAAGAAACTTGAAACATTAATTTGAAAGCATATATGCACCCCTATTTTTATTGCAGCATTACTTACAATAGACAAGATTTGGAAGTAGCCCAAGTGCCCATCAGTAAATGAGTGGATAAAAAAGTTATGCTACATTTATACAAAGGAATACTATTCAGCCGTAAAAAAGAAGGAAATTGTACCTTTTGTGACAGCATGAATAGACCTGGAGAGTACTATGTTAAGTGAAATAAGCCAGCCAGAGAAAGACAAGTATCATATGATTTTATTTATATGTGGACTCTAATGAAGAAAATCTTATATAATAATCCTATATAATAAAAGGCTAATATGCAAATCAACCCAATGGCGGAATGACCAGTTGCTATGACATGCACTGACCACCAGGGGGCAGATGCTCAATGCAGGAGCTACCCCCTGGTGGTCAGTGTGCTCCCACAGCAGGAGTGCTGCTCCCACAGGGGGAGCGCCAGCTCAGCCAGGAGCCAGGTTCACCTAAGCCGGCAGGTGGACATCCCCCAAAGGCTTCAGGACTGCAAGAGGGTGCAGGCCAAGCCGAGAGACCCCGCTGCCTCAGGGCGCAAATGTCATGCACCGGGCCTTTAGTAAACTAATAAAGTAGAAACAGACTCCTAGATACAGAGACCAGACTGACAGCTGTCAGAGGGGAGGGGGTTTGAGGGGTTGGTCCAAACAGTGAGAGGATTAGCCAAATGGAAAAAACCTTGTAGACACAGACAACAGTGTGGTAATTACCAGAGGGAAAGTGGGGTGGGAGAGGTAGAAGAGTGTAAATAGGGGCTAAATGGCAATGGAAAGATACTTGACTTGGGGTGGTGAACACACAGTGCAATATGCAGATGATGTATTACAGAATTGTACACCTGAAACCTACATAATTTTATTAACCAATGTCACCCCAATAACCTCAATAAAAATAAAATAAAGAACAGTGTGTACATCTCATACTTAAAGAGTTCCTTGCCAAGTGCTGTCATCCCCACTAGTTCATGTGAATTGCACAATTCTGCTGGACCCAGACAAGGAAGGACTCATCCCTACCTTACAGATGAGAAAACCGACCCAGGCTGAGGAGAGCAGACCCGAGCCTCAGACACAATCTTCTGAGCAAATCCTCTGTTGCTTCCCAACGCCTTCTCATGACTAAGCTCCAGCAGGGCGGGTGCCTGGTGTCATCTCTCAGTCAAACAAAGAATGAGTTTCTCATGTGCCAGGTGGAAGGAGGCAACCCTGTGCTAATAGCAGGGCCTTCTCTTCAAATAAATTCCAGGCATCTTGCCAGACTTGGGCTAGAAGTGTGTTAAAAGCAAAATGTAACCACAACCGAGTGGCTGTCTTTCTGAGACTAAGTTGCTTTTGCCTTGGTCCTAATGGTTCCATCCTCAGCAATTCGCACACGGCTGGCGGGGAACAGGGATGGGGGACTCCAATCTCCGACCAGTCAAGCAATCCTAAAATCGTTGCCAAAAGGGACGCATTCTGAAGACTACACTTGAGACTAATTATATCTTGGAGGCAATAAATTAAGGAGCAGAAAGTGCTTACTCTGGAAAAAATGGGTAGGCTGGCCGAGTGAGAATTGTACTTAAATACTTGAAGGATTACCGTGGGAAAGAAGGCTCCAACCTATGCCCAGGGCACAGCCAATGTGTGAAAAGCACCATGGGAATGAGTCTGGGCTGACACGAAAACTACGGCCCTTACAACACTGATGGGAGTGGACGTTGTTGACCTCATGAGTTGTGTGCTCTGTGACATTGGAGGTGCAAGTGGATATTCAAAGACCAATTAGGGAAAGAAGTCAAGTATCAGATGAAACTCAAGTACCTGCAAGATCCCTTCCAGACTGGATATGTCCAGACAGTCTTACACTGTGATGTCAATCATTTATTACTGTTGCCCACACAGAATTATCAGGCTGACCTACATGGGGACCTGGGCTGGGGAGGGTGGGCTCCCAGACCTGTGAGGTCCCATGGTGTGGACAAGTAGACATGACTGCTCTGGATCTTGGAAGATGGCTTCTCATAGGGATAAGAGCCTAAAAAAGAGGCGTACAGTGAGGGGCCTTGACTGCCAAATTGACATCTGTGGAAATCTTCCAATATGTGCACTTTCTTAGAAATAGGTGTTTGAAAATTTTGAGGAAAAGAACCTGGGAGAGCACCCCAACCCCAAAGCAGAGTTATCAATGCCTAATATGTTGCTGTGACCAGGACTTGGAGGAGAAAAGGACCGTCACCTGATCCAAATCATTTGAGAGGATCCCCTGTATGTCCACTCCAAGGTAAATAGCTCTTATCCACAGAAAAGAACCTTGACTCTGGACTCTCCTTACTAAATATGGAATGATCTGAGAATGGAAATATGCTTGTGCCATCTGTGTCCCTATGTGCTCTCACAGTGTGCATGTACCCACTTGCAGGTGTAATGACTGGAAAAAAGTGATTATTTTTTCAGTATTTAGTTTATGATGACATAAATTATTCTGTATTTTAAAAAGTCAAGTAAAATCTATAATTCTGTTGTTCTAAAATCAATCTCTTTCTCTCTTAGTGGAGTCTTTCACTCTGGTTAATAAAATGATGTGGTCTATTCCACTAACGTTGAATCAAAGCAACATCTTTACAAAGTTCCAGTCATTTCCTAATACTTCAGATGCTATTATTCCCTGCTTTGTACACAGGGCATTAAGCACATACAAAATATTCTTATGCTTGTTCTCTCATTTAAACCTCATAATGACCTTAGGAGAAATACAGGGCAAGAATTACTATCCTCCTTATTTTGATGAGGTATCAGACCCTTCAAGAGGCTCAGTGACTTGTCTAAGGGCACACAGCGAGCGAGTGGAGGAGTGGGAGCTAGATTCAGACACAAGACCTCTGCCTGTGTGTGTCTCTACCATGGTGTTTCCTCTGAATGAAATGTTTATAGCACTGAAAACCAAGGAGGAAAGAGAGGCAACTATCCAATGGATTACCATCATGAGTATAATTTTCTTCAGAGAGAGTTCCTAGTTTTCATATACGTTCTCTTGAACCTGACCATCAATTACAGAAGAGATTGACTCCCACTGCAGAGAGAGTGAAATCATAAAGCCAGAGAAACCTATATCTCTGCTTAAACATTGCTCAGCCCCTGCTTTGTACAGCTTTTTAGGGTTAGATAGAGTCTCTCTTGGTTTGAACCATGCTCACTTCTTTATGCATAAAAAAATCTTGAAAATTGCTGCCACAGAACATTTGGTCCACATTTTGGTTTCCATTAGACTTGTTAAAATAACCCTCTAAACTTTATCCATAAAATGACTTTCTTTAAATAACAACAACAAAACACACCTCTCCTGGACTTGTTGAAAGAGTGTTGGCCTTCTCCCATACCAAGCTTATTCCTTCCTCAAGGAGACTGCATTTGCCATCCTTTCTGCCTTGAATGCTCCCCCTGCACAACCAACCTCCCACACTCTTGGCTGATTCCTTCTCCTTCAGATTTCGCTCATGTGTCCCTTCTTCAAAGAAGCCTTCCCTGACTACTTTATCTAATAGTGTCCTTGCCCCACTAGCTGGTTTGTTTTCTACATAGTACTTGGGCAACCCTGCAGGTGGCTGAGGTGGAAAGATTAGTACTTGTTCAACCACACACTTAGGAAATGGGAGGCCCGAGTCTACAATTCAAGTCCACTGATTTCCAAATCAAAGTCCTTTATGTTCTTCACACCTGGCTAGGTACTGCTAATCAAATGAGCTAATCCACTGGGGAAAAGAATGCAGGATGTT